CGAGCAATTCTGTGATTCTGTGTGTGTGTGACTTCTGTGTTTCATACCTCAAAGGGAATAAATACACAACAGCGTTTTTAAAGATTACATTTTAAAAAAATTACATAAAAAAGTTTAAAAAATACTGCAAAGTAGACATAATGGAAAGAAAATAAATAGAAGGTTTTAAACCCAAGTCACTACTTCACAACACACGGCAAAAAACCGAGAGCTTTCATAAGCTTCATAAAAGCTTTCCAGTAGGGTGCCGTGAAATTGCTTTACACAAGATGTCATCCTGGACATTAGTTAAATTGCATTGATTCCTTAAAGTTGGAAGGGTATTTTTGATAGTAAGGATTAATATCTGGTGTCTTCCAGAGCTGCAGTGGATGTATGCAGCTTCAGTAACTGGTTTCCAGCAGCCCTAACTGGCGGCTGAGTCGGGACATCACCTCTGTTGTTCGTGTTTCCCCACAGATGACGTATTCAGTCCCTCTTAGCTACGGAGGAATTTCAGACTGCAGAGGAAGTGTAGTAAAGTTTGGTGCATTTTCATTTAAAGGGAATGATCCTAAACTAAATAATCCTCTTTGTTTTGTCTTTTTCTTTAAGGAAAGACAGTTCTCCAACAGTTTTTTTGTGCTAGCTCCGTAGACAGAGGGCTTATAATAAAGTTTATTAACATGTGGTTCTAGTTTCCTTCTACAGTGTAAGGGTTGCAAGTGTGAGATGTGAAGACTTGTTCCCCTTTGCTGTGGATTAACTGCAGTCGATAATGAAACTTTTCTCCATGTCATATTCCAGAATGTCCTGCTGCTCTATTATGCCCAGTGGTGCGGATTCTGTGCTTCTCTTAATCACATCTTTATTCAACTTGCTCGGCTTTTGCCTCCGGATAACTTCACTGTGGCAAGGTAAGAAAGATTCTCATTTCATCTCTCTAGAATAATTTAAGTTCGTCAAGCTCACCAGCCTAGAAAATCATTACTTTTTGTCTCTCTGCAGCCTTGCAATAGTGGATGTGAATGTCCTCGGCTTCGTTTTCCCTTGAATGCATTAATTTGTTTTCCTCTGTATGAATTCAGTGGTTTTCAATCTTCTCTCTTTGAGTTTTAGCAAATAATTATATCCTGTAGTACTGTATTTGAGAACTCTTTGAGATGGGCAGAATACATCTCGCTGTGGATCAACCCTGGTGGGTACCTACGCCCCGTGCTCACTTCCCCCCTGCATCCCCAGTGCCATGGGGAGGAGGAAAGGAAGGATAAAACCAAGAAAACGTGGAGGTCAAGACAAAACAAAGCAAAATTAATTGTTAAAGAATAAGATACTTTTACACACATATGTGTGTGTGTGTGTGTGTGTGTGTGTATATATATGTATCTTTTCAGTATATACATCTATAAAAGAGACTTGGTTTTGTTTGGTATTTCCAGGTTTTTTAATGTTTCACTGCAACCTAAACATTCTTGTTAGAATCACAGAATGACAGAATGCACTGAGTTGGGCAGTGAGCAGGGACAATGTTCCCAGATGAGGCTGTTCAGGACCCCATCAAGCCTGACCTTGAATATCTCCAGGGATGGGGCCTCCACCACCTCTGGGCAACCTGTGTCACTGATCTGCCACCCTCATGTTGAAGAACTTTTCCCTAATATCCAACCAAAATCTGCCCTTCTTTAGTTTAAAACCATTACCTCTCATCCTGTCACTCCATGCCCCAGTGAACAGCTCTTCCCCAGATTTCTTATAGGCACCTTTCAGGTTCTGGAAGGTCGCTGTAAAGTCCCCCTGGAGCCTTCTCTTCTCCAGGGTGAACAGCCCCAGCTGTCTCAGCCTGTCTTTGTAGGAGAGGTGAGGATGCTGTGGGGGACCGTGTCAAAGGCCTTGCAGAAATCCAAACAGATGACATCCATAGCTCTTCCCTTGTCTACTGGTGCAGTTCATGTATTTGATAATATATCAGTATTTAGAACATCTGCTCTGATTGCATCCTTGTTTCATTCTGACTGAACTTAGTCCAGGAGGCAACTTGAGATGTAATACAGCATGAGGAAAAAAATTCAGTTAAAAATCTGGGCTTACCTGTTTGCAATTGCAGCTTTATTCCTACGGATGCAGTGCTGCTCTCAAACCTACACCCATTCTCTTTCCTGACTGAAGTTCTCTCATTTGCTCCATTATTTTTTTGCACTATTACTGCTGTGACTGTGTATATTTTCTTCTAGAATAACACTGTTGTAACTGATAAAAGTTTTGTTTGTAATTGAAGAAAACCTACAGATGCAAAGAAAAACATCACAAGTGTTTCGTTCACAAAATCTCGTGTTCCTGTCTATGGAGGCCTTTAGAAAACATCGTGCCTGTACAGTTGTGTTTGTCCTTAGTAGAAACAAAGTAATTTACTCCCAAAGCAACCTGAGGGGAAAAATATTCATAGAGTTGGACTTGAGAAACCAATTAATGAGCAGAAGAAACTTCAGTCTCATGTTGAAACTTAGGCAGGGCTGTTTGTTGCAGAGAAGGAAGGTGTGTGCTTAATGAAGATGTGTACACATAACGTGATGGTGCAGTTTAATTGGAGTGAGAGCACTTGGAATACTGCACATTTCTAGGAAAAACCCAAATCCACAGGTACTTGTTCAGCTGAGATTCATCATCTTGAGTACTGGTAATTGACTCTGCTGACTCACATGCACAACCTGTATTTGACATGACACGTTTAGACTTAACTTTCACAGATACTTGCATTTCCTTCTTCCAGAAGGAAGATACAGATTGTTCATCTGCCTGTTCTCTTCAGCAATGTGTCTTTTCTTAACAGAATTGATACCAGCCGAAATGACCTTCCCTGGGAATTCATGACAGACCGGCTCCCAACCATTTTATTTTTCCCTCATCAGAGGTAATTTAATTCTTTTCCCTGTGGGTTTCACTTTACTAAGTTATAGTAACGATCTGGTTACATGTCTTAATAGAGAAAGAAGCCAGAGTAATTCATTTCCATATATGCATTCTTACTTTAATTAAAAAAAAACCTCATTTGAATATTAGAATAGATTCTTGCAGGATTTGCTTGCTGTGGATTTGATTAAGAAAAATAAGAAGTAAGCAGAGATTGAGAGTGATTAATTCAGCCCAAGTGTAGTTTTGTTTAAGAGAACAAAAACTAACAGTCCTGATGTTACAGAGGACAAGAAGATCGATGGTTACATGTTTTGAAAGTGAAAAATTTTACTCCAAAAAAAAACAAAAGGGTAAATCTGAGTGATGCTTATGCATCCTTTGGAAATATTACAGTGGTCCTAATCTGTGACATTTTATTTCTCCCTCACTTCTCTGTGGTACAATCAAAGTAAGGTCATCAGAGAGACTTTGGAGCGTTCCTTGTGCAGACGGAGGTTCTTTCAGGCCGCGTTTGTCTCGTCATTCTGGTGCTTGGCCTTTGTGGGGGGTGTCCGTGTGTGCCTGGCTGTACCTGCGTTTTGGGTGTCGGATTCTTGTCAGTCTGCACAGAACACAGCAGTGTTCCATCACTAAGACACAGCCTAACAGCGGCAGAGAGAATGGCCTGGAATACTGCTGGCCTTGAGAAGCGCTCTAAAGGAGATGCTAATACCTAAAGCAAAATCTCTGATTTTGCATGGGAGAGGAATGGCTTTAGATACAGGGACAGCTCGTGTCTTCTCATGTTTCAGTAAAAATAAGGGTTAAATTTTCCTCTTACATTTCACTTATGTGTCGCCTGTGTTCCTTTTTGTATTGAGAGGAGTTTCATATTAAAAGAAATTTCACTGTAGAAAATGTGAAATAAGTGTTTTTATTTCTGTTAAAATCAGAGTATAGAATATTTTTCTTGTTTTTGTGATGTCATTAGTCTTGTTTGGCAACATCATCGTGTTGCCACAAAAGAATATGAAGCAAAAAAACCCACCCCAAACAACAGTTACAAATGTTACGATTAAATAGAAAGAGAATATGGGATGGAGTGGAAAAAGGAAGCTGAAGAAGTAGAAGTACGATGCATGAAGAAGATGTACTTGAAATGCAAACATCCTCAAAACCGAGTAGCAGGTTTACTGACATTCTATAGGAGCCCTGTGGTGTTTCTTTAAAGCGGAAAACAAATGAAGCTTCAGTAGCAGTTTAACACCTTACAGAGGGAAGTATCCACAGGAGACCAGCAGTAAAACAAGGTGTTTGAGTGAAACTCTACAGCAAGCAAGGCCTCGGAGAAAGCCAAGCAGTAAGAGTGTAGGATAGGCAAGTGAAGTTTCAAGGGGACAGCTAGGATTGAGAAGAATTTCTGGGATGGTGAAAGCAGGCTGAGTCGGAGGAAGGGAATCGAGTCATGAATGGGTGAACAGAGAAAACTCCAAGGCAAAGGCAGGTGGGTTAGAGAAAGACACAAAGGGTGGGTCAACAGAAAAAGGAGCTCTCGGGATGTTAAAGGGCAGGAGAGTGCGGCCAAGGCCGGGTGGGACCTGGAATGGCAGACAAGGGTCTTGCGTCCTTCTCTTCCTCTGCAGCACGGAAGAATTCTGAAATCCAGTGCCACATGGTGACACAGGCACATCCAGCCTCTCAGGCTCAGGAACAAGAAAGAAATGTCAGATGCAAGAGAGCCACAAGCTTTCAGAAATGCTCTACTTATTATTAGAGAGATGTTTTTGGTGCTGCATTAGACTTGATTGACCTTGGGTTTTATTTTCCCTTTTTTTAAAAGGATTAATACTCACTCTTACACAATTACAGCTTTTAGAGAAAGGAAATTAAAAGCAGCATTATAATAAATACTTGCCTCTTTGCAATTTAGAATTAAAATATTGATTTCCACCTTTCTCCCTCAAGAACGCCATCAGCAGCAATTGGCAATTCAGACTGTTGGTACTGTGCAGTGTTACCTACCACTAAATCTCTGTGCCTTAGGTTTTGCAATTCTAAGTCCATGTTTTAATTCAGTACAGAAATAATTTCATTTTTATCAGTTCGGAGTCATCCCAACTTCCAACTCCTCTCCCCTGCCTTGCGCAGTAAGCCTTGTAGATCACACGCCTCCAGCTCAGTTCCAGTCCTTCTCTGGTCTCTTGGTTAACTGGGCAGGAAAGCAGCTGGAGTAGCCCCATGGTGTGTACCTGTCTGCACAAGGGCAGCGTTACCTTCATCTGCTGCTTAGCAAAAGCTGCCATCTTCAGTACCAGTACCCCAGCCCAATTCCCTGGGGTTCTGCAGGTTCCCTTGGGTCTCACTTTTATGCATTTTCCAGCATTTGGATGCTTTCTCTCGTTTGCACAGTCCATTCCTGC